CAATTGACTTAATGGAGGTATATCAGAACCAAACACCCTTCTTACAACTTCGTTCTCAATGTGCTCATTGTGATCAAAAATATATTCCAAATAAAAATGGTTGTACAGTTCTGTCACTTTCTCCCACAGAGTAAGATTATATAGTCTTTGCCGAATCGGAATCGGATATAGCATGGGATGAGACGGTACTCCAAATGTGTTATAGTGACCCATCATAGCTCCAAAAGAACTCATAGCAATGGCAGGTGTCTTTAAAATGTAGGGAAGTACAAGAGTAGGTCGCATACAAGCCTCAAGTATGACTAAGTCGAATTTTCTATCTTCAGATATAACCTTACGGAATTCAGTATTATTCATTTCTATTTCAAATATAGAAGGTAGTAATTTTAACATTGATTTAATTAATTTATAATGATTATTATTTAAACCGTTTCCTTCTGCGTGTTGTTTAATCCCATTGATCCAACGTTCATATGATATATCATGAACGTCGATTTCTGTAAGGTTGGCAGGATTTTGTCCTTTAGGGAAAGCAGGATCCGCAGTGAGAACTACCACTTCATGACCACGTCTAGCCAATTCTTGCGTCAGTGGTCGGAATACTACCTGATGACTTATCGATGGAGTTGGAACTACTACTAAAATTCTTTCAGAATCACATAGTAAAATCAAACTTAACACCAAACTTACAACTGTTAACGATGAATACATTATTGCTAAGATATAATTGACTGGTTCTAGTAGTTAGCAAACCATTATATACGTACAATTTCGCAAATCATGATGAGATGTAAAAAATACAAAGTAATTTTAAGATAGGATTATATAGGTTGTAACAATAATGTTAGCGTCTCACAGATACTACTGATAGCAAATAAGTTTAGCAATTAAGGAATCAGCATGGAAATTATTTAATGACGCTCATAATACATATTTATTAGTAACCAGTTCCTTTTCGAAAAATAGATATTGCTTTTGTCATGAGCTTGGTATGCCAGTTAAATTATGGTAGAACCTGTTTTGTATTCCTTTACATTGTAAGTACAATACTTTGCTCTGTACGCAGCTGATTTGATAACAGAATTTATTGAGTACAGAGTCATTATGATCGTTTGAACTTGTTTTATTTGTTAATGTCTCCTACTATGCTCTATTAAGGTCCCGTGTACAATAAAATGTACATAATATGTGAAAATATTCAGATTTGAACAATATTATAACGAAAATATTGCATTGTTTGTTTCATACATGTAATTTATTAATTTAAATACATTTTAAAGTACAATGGGCGTTTAGTGCTTTACTTATTGTATTTTTCCGATTTCTTTGAATAGGAGGTTTTTCTTCTGCCACGATTACGCTTTCCTTCGATTTTCCCCTGCATTAAGTTGAAAGTTATCAACTCAAAAATTACAAAATACCGAAATATCTTTTATCAGTTTTTTCCAATGTTTTTGATTTTACGGTGTTTCGGCTTGACATGGCAAAAAAAATACACAAGGCGAGGCTCTTAATTTTAATTTTAGAATGGAATAGAACACGGTTATTTGCCAGAATAGTTCGCTACCTAGATTTCAGTCGTTATCGTACGATTCTACAATATCAGCACGCGTGAGATGTTCGTGTTTTTTTTAGCAAATCACAATTAATTTAAATTCCTTTCAAGAAGTCCAACATTAACCATATTAAAAGTTCTACAGAAAGTGACTTCACAAGCAATTACTGCGTGATGTCGATATCAGTTAATTATGTAGCTTTATTTTTGTTGCTTGGTACAAGAGATAATTATGGACTTTGGCACTTTTTGTATCAAGCCACAGATTTGTTGAGTCACATGATTACATATTTATAATACCGGCAATTCTAATTATCTCTTTGTGACGAGCTCGGTGGTACAATGCATTGCACGGCGCTTGATGACATGACCTATTTGAAACATTATTTTTTTTAATTGATTCCAGTATGAGTGTTTCATGAATTTGACTAGTTTCAGATCAGGTAATTAGAATAATTAGACTGGATAAGAATAAATTAAAAAGTATCTAGTTCTTTTAAGGAACTGACTTGTAAATAATGCAAGACTGAGTAGCTAGATATAGCTAGTTAGTAGCTGGATCTTTGCCTCAAATGCGAATTATATTACCAAAATTTGACAATAAAATCCAATATATATATATTTTTAAATTGTTTAGTCTTAGTTCATTATAAAGTACTGATTGTATTAACAGGTGTCTACTTAGTAAAGGAGGGAGTGTGCATACTTTTACAGTTAAATAATTGATCTAATGAGGTAATTAAAACAAAGAAGGACGGCGAAAGCTGACCCAAAATCAACGAAGAGCCGTCCAGGGACATTGCTAATATAATTTTACGTTTTAGTTTATGCCTAGTTATCACAGACCAGATAGTGCTAGTTATCAATATATTTTTGTATATTATTAGAAGACGGAAACAAAGAAATTATGTACAATGTACTGTAGAATAAATGCAAGAACATAAAGCAATTGATTCAGTAAACCATAGATTATGTGATGTGAATACCTAATCAAATAATCAATTAAACTGTAATGACATAAAGTAAAAAATAAAACACAATGTGACAAAAATGTTCAGACAATATTTAAATGAGAGATAAGAAATTCAGCAAAGGAACGTTTTGACAAGAGACTTGTTGCCAATGTCACATTGAGGTTGAGAACAGGATGACTATTTGTCGCAGATTTCTGCCATTTGGGCAGATTTAATTTTTATTCATTTTCATTGCGGCAGAACATATTAACGTTGTATTAAATGTGGCGGATTTGGGAATATTCAGCAAGTACTTTACTATTTTTGGCAACAAACTGAAAACTTGTTGTTTTTTGCTACTACGAACAAACATCTGAAGCGAAATACAGGTGTTATAAACATAACCTATATCAACATTATTACCCCAGCTTCTACAGGCTGTACTCAATTAACTTTTTTAATGCTTTGATAATGCATCGCAAGTATTGATAGGTCTCTTTAACGCACGTCACCAAAAACACTGACTCACAAAATACACGAGATGTCGCCATCCTTCTTTACATTTAAATTTATTTAGTAATTTTGGAAACAAAAACAAATTAGATAATGCATAATTCTGCACCGTCCATGACAGAAAAATGGATTTGAAAATTTTATTTAAAAAAATTTTTCGTGAAGAAAGAAGATGACACTGTGAAAAGATAATTGCAAGTCTCCGACAAATAAAACATTGATTTATTATTTTAAAAAGAAACGGAAATAATGGTTTATGACGTCACGACATTGATGGAACCGTCCACACAATACAGAGTGATTTTTTAAATGGGACAATATGGGGCAATCCGAAACCAGTTGTAGGAGGCATTGTCTTTTTTTGTAAAAACAATTTTGGCATAGCCAATTTTTAGGTCAAGCATGAGTTGTCCATAACGATGAATTTTTTTATTTTGTATGGGACGAAAAAATCGGGACGAAGTTGGTCAAATTTAATAAAAAGTTTGTTCATACACACTGTGAATACCTGCCGACAATGCCACTAATGTTCTTTCCTTTTTTATACCTGTTTATACATCCTCGTATTACATACTTATTCCCTATCTATGTGCGATTTTCCCGTGTGGCTTGTAGTCGTCTATTTTGCGGTCTACGCCATACGTCACAAATTTTGCGGTTGGAAAACTGCCTGTTCGGTTATGGTTTTTAATTGATACTTGAAATATTTTTTCTTAGTTCAGAGACGTCCTTATCCGCTCACGCGATTCATGCGTCTCTGGAAGCATGCCACACCTAGAGGTGCCGGTGATGATTTTATACCGATTTATCGGATTTATCGAAGTTATAACAGGTAAAAGAACTAATACTAATTGCTATTTCGGTAACTACTCTAGCAAACCCTAAAGTTTTTAATGTCTGTCATTTAAAAAAATAAACAACTTCAAAAATACGTCACGACAATCGTGTCTGTTATTGTTTGAGCTGGTGATGTCGGTGTTTATTTATTGAAAACATACCGTAAGTTGCGTTTTTTAAGTTTACCCTGAATATAAATGCTTATAAACTATACTTTAAGGAGTAATTTCATGGTAAAATTTAGAACCACTCAAACGGAATATTATCATATTTACCCACGTACACCAAAAATTTCATTAGTGCTTTTTAAGTGCAGGATTTGCGATGTATTACTGCATTTTATTTGAGATGTTTGCTTGTTTGAAAAAACAAATTTATAATATGTTTAAATTCGAAAAAATAGTATCATTTCCTATATTGAGTTTATGTTTACTTAATACTGAATAAAACAAAGTCAAAGTCAAAGAATCATTTTTTCCATGGGTAAAATAAATTTACACTTGAAAACGTTACATTTAAGCTACTGCTCGTTCACGACGCTGACTTCCTTGAGAAGAACGAGCAAGAAACTTTAGAGATTTCTCTTTTCAAATAAACGATATGGAATACACTTTAAATCAATCACTTTCAATCAATCAATCACTTTAAATTTGTGTAGATTCTGGAGCCATGTCGTCTTTCCATACATCTTTATCTAACACATAGTCTACAATTGTGTAATATGACTTTTCAATCAACATATTTTTAATGTAATTCTTAACTTAAGAAATGATAATCTTAATAATTATACTCCGGAATCTTATTGTAAAAACGTATACAGTTCCCCATAAAAGAGTCGTTTACCTTGGTTAAACGAAATCGTGGTACCATGAATTTGGACTTAGCTCTAAGGTTAGTATTATAGATATCTTCTTTCTTATTGAAATTGTGTATATTTTTACGGGTATATAAAGTATTTGAGTACCTAAATGTACTGTAATGCCACAATCATGATACCAATCTCCTTAAACTTTTCCCTGAGAGAAACCCGAGAGCCTAGACGGTACACTGAACCAATCGCTCGTTTTTGCAATACAAATATGGTTTGAATATCTGTTGCTTTACCCCACATGAGAATTCCGTAGGTCATTATACTATGGAAGTAACTAAAGTAAACTAGTCTAGCAGTACTAACACCGGAAAGCTCACGTATTCGGCGGACTGCGTATGCAGCGGAGCTTAATCTGCTGGCCAGAGAAGATATATGTGGAAACCATTGAAGCTTACTATCTAAGGTCACTTCTAAGAAGACTGCTATATTAACAAAGTTTAACTTTTCTCCGTTTATTTCTATGCTTGGACTAGTCGATTTTACGTTAGATTATTCAAATTAAACACATTTTGTCTTCTTGGCATTAAGCAATAAATTGTTAGCATTAAACCAATAAACTACCTTGCAGAGGGTATCGTTAATATGGTCATAAATAATGTCATGTCTGTCTGTTTTAAAAATCAAGGATGTGTCGTCAGCAAACAATACTATTTCGCAATAGTCCTTAACAAAGAATGGCAGATCATTAATATTAATCAGAAATAAGAAAGGTCCAAGTATTGAGCCCAGCGGAACACTCATTTTTACCGGAGAATCAAAAAAAGTCACTCCATTTATGTCTTCTTTCTGAATTCTACCGTTGAGATATGACGAGACCAGTTCCGACGCCTCGCTCAAGTTTAAATATTCTCTATTTGGTGTATGTTGGATTCTCATCACTAAAATACCTCAATTAAAGAAATGGAGCCCGTTTTAGAAAATACGTTTCCAGTGAGTGCTGTATTGCCATTGACTTAAATAAATGGACGACGGGTCTAATACA